TAGTTGCCTCTAATTTAACATGATTCGATGAAACAAACACAAAGGACTCATGGAAATAAATTTAAAAATAGAATTAAGATGTCATCTTTTTTTCCAGCGAAAAAGAGAAAAGCGAAAATGACTGGAAACAATGAATATGAATAAGTACATGAACATAGAGTACGAGATATTTACAAGGTGTTTAGTTTTAAGTTACAAGTGACTGTTATGAAAGATATCGTATTAAATCAATGTTCAAGATGTTTAGTAATCGGAATGACATTTTGAGATTGTATTTTGACCTCACTCCAACATTCATTTCAAACGATGATAATATTCCCTAAATCAAGATTTTGGTTAAAATTACAGCATTGTTTTCAATATGCAAATCAATTTAACCTTTTGAGACACATTATTCTTACTTTGAGACACCAAAGCTCTTAAAGGTTATGATTTGTTCGATTCGAAACCGAGATACCCATAATTTATGCGGCCATATCGACATGAGTACTGTGAACAAGCTAGTTCCCGAGGGTATATTATCTTCAACATGTTCGTGATACAGAAAATGTTAAAACAAGATGCTGCAAATAAGTCTATGACATTTCTTCAGACATGTAGTTGCTATAAGAAATGTCAATCACATAACACAGAATTGTTTTGACCTCAATGGATTACAGTCATTTCAAAACACATGCCATGAACATTAAAATTTGCATTTTGCATATGTACAAGAGTACTACGGTTGATGGTGACTGACAGCCCAAAAAGGGTTTAATGTGGCCAACAGCAGTCGTTGAAAGACTATTCGCATTTGCTTTACTGTAAATTCTTTATTATGTGTGGGGTACCAATCTTCGATGATTTGGTGAGGATGGGGAAACCTAAAATTCAAACATTCACCGGAATTGAAAATAGACTATTCTCTCTTTGTAAACCATGAAATCAAATATTGACGATAATACCATTTTTCAGAAATGCACGAAAATTGGAACCCACGAAAATAAATTAATCCCCAATATTTCACCTTGTAAGTAATTAACAATAAACACGTTATACATGTGTTACGTGCGAATATTTTGGATTTATCTTTATATCTATTTATACAGACCTTGATATTTCCAATCCATGTGCAAATTTTTAAGTATGTACTTTATCAAATTAAACACAAGATGATTGTGGTTTTCAATGAAAGTAGTTGAAGTGCGTTTTCAAAGTGTACCTACAATAATGGATATTATTTGGTCAAAGGTATTTTAATGTTAGTATCGATAAATATGAACTCCAATTTAATGTGTATCATGTAAAGATGTGTTCGTCAAAGTTTGACGTATGATTGGTAAGTCACCAATAGGTCAGACAATTATTTTCTATTTAGATTTTACGCGATGCATAATGGGTACGTAATCATCTGAATTTTTTTTTTAAATTATATAGGGTGAAAAAAGAGAACATATAGATTTTCACCAAATCTGGTTTATATCAGAGATTTAAATGAAATTAACTCAAATACAAAGTTTCATGAATATTTCATGAAGATTGAGAAAATCCTGGGCCTTAACTATGATGACGCAGCATAAATTCACAGTTTACAGTATGCATAGTTTACTTAAAAGCCTGAATTAAAAATAAATTCTGAATGTATGCATATTTGTAATTTGAATTGTTTTACTCTTTGCAATCATTGAAACTCATAGATCCTTCCTGAATATTGTTTTTGGGGTGTTTTTGTTCTGTCGATAACCCAAAAGTAAGCCGTAACACCTGAATGTGCTTTTTTGTGACCGCGGCATAAAAAAGTACAAGCTAGAAATACAAAAATACCTCAGTAAAACTAGCAATAGTTTGTTCTATCCTAAATATGTATTGAATATTCAATATTCACAGAAAAAGCAGAATAATTTAGCAAATGTGAGGCTCCAGTGGCAAAAAAAACCCCCAGAAAAATGCTTCCCCCCTGGTTCACATAACAGACAATTTAACCTGTAAATGCTATGAATTTATTATTTTAAAGGTTTTTTGTATAGAAAACAATAACTGTGCTTTGAAATTATGCAAAAAACAGATGTTAGCAGTCAGTTCTATAAAACTTTAAGTGTAGTCATACAAAAAACTGGTAACTTTATACATACAACTTTTGAAAATATGGCTTTGTTTAAACACTTCTTGTTCGTATATTAGCTAAATTATGTTAGATATATAGTTTGAGATGATATTATTGTGACAATATTTCTACACTGACCATTTGAGGTAGAAACTGTTAATTTTAATTGACAAATAGGCATATAGTAAGATGTGGACTGGAGGCAAAGGCAGGATTAGATACTTTATATAATCTTGAATTTTGGAATGATTAACTACTAAACTTTACATGTATAGTATTCTGAAGTGCTTTTAATTTGTTATAAGAATAGTTTCAAACAGGTTCTAGACATTTCATGTCAGAAAACATGCACATAGGATAAGTTTACAATAATTATAGCGCTATATTTTGACCTTTGAATAAAACAGTAGTGCATGTCAACTTTACGTTCTGGGATATAATTTTACACGAAACTTCCTAGTAAAAGTGGCACAGTTTTAGCCATAAAGGGAATTCCATCGGGAAATTGCATTGTCTATATTTATAGAATTGCAACCTGTTTAGCTGATTTTGACTGCATTATTTGCGTCTATTTAATTACATTATGTCATATCTTTTCTTGATGATAGCACTAGCCTGTCAAAACTGATTTAGTGAGTTCGAACATGGTTTTGCACGGTTTGTTCGACCCCGATATTCATCAACTATGACTCCTAGTTGAATCCCATAGTTGTTGGTTCTGTCCGGCAGATCGACTTCCTCAACTAGAGGAAACTGTTTACTTTCATAAAGATAGTTTGATACATTGCTGGCCTATGCAACTTACATTTTCTTTCAATTAAAGTATCTTGTTGACTCCACTGTGTCCAGTTTCTGAGGGTATTCCGTAATATCGAAGCAGTTAATAGCATTTACCTTCATCTTGATTAAATTGACACGCGACAAATTTGCATTGTTTTCGTCTATTAAAAATGTAGCTTCTATTCCTCTCGTTTTTCAGGAAAGGTAGAGCGTAGAAAACTTTGATTTATATCTAAAGGCCTTTTTGAGTTATGTTTTATTTTCTTTCGAAGTCTCAAAGAACGTCGTTTATATGTTTACCCAAACAGTATAGTCCTAATGCACATTCTAACTGTGTGACGTTTTTTTGTTCTCGTTTTTAAACGTCGAATTTTTGCATTCTATTTTTTGCATTTAAGCTCTTTCTTCCTTAACAAAATAAGATAAAAAAAAGGGCAGGATATATATTATAAAAACAGTGTATAAAAACATTGATCTTTGAATCTGCGTTAAATCAAGTGCCAAAAAATTCATCGAATAACTTTTTGCAGGATTTTCACTGATTTACTTTCCTTTTTTGGTACTCAACGAATGCTATATATTGTATATTAATTTTGGGGCTATGAAACAGATCCATTTTTTTAAACACCGAAACCACTCTATTTCATATGATTTAAAGTCTTTAATATAGATACAAATTGTCGGTTGATGTGAGAAACCTTGAGGTTCTGGTAACGACAGATGAGAACTAATTGAAATGTAAATTAGTGAGAACTATTTTCATCTTGAACGAAAAGAGAGACAAATCGAAGTCGACGACTCCATATTTTGTTTTTAAAATCCTAGAAAGAGAAACTGACAACGCAATTTAGGTCATTTGAAACAATGATTGTAGTCACAAAAACCTAATACCACATTAATGGTAGAATTAAAGAAACCATGGGTCTGTTGTTCAACTTGCCGTTAGTACTAACGAGTCGTTAAAAATTCTTAATCATTCCAATAAAAATAATAATATGATTAGTGTGTTGTTCAACTTGTCGTTAATTTTAACACCACGTTAAAAATGCCTAAACTGTCGTTAAAATTAATCAACCTCTTCGAGGTGTATTAAATTGTACTTATATGATTAAGATATCCAAAATGGTTGCAACTGCAATGTTTCATCCGCCTAGATTTAGGAGAGAAAGGCATTATCGAGGCTTTTATCCATTAGATAAAGGATTAAGTGATGAACAACTACAACAAAGATACAGGTTTGGTAGATAAACCATTGATGTTTTTTGCAAATGAGTTGAGAGACGATTTGGAGATAAGTAGCAGTAAAAGTACAGCCTTGAAAGTTGAACAGCAAGTCATGATTGCCCTTCGTTTTTACAGTGGAAGTCAGATGCAAGTAGTCGCAGACACTATGGGTTTTGACAAATCAACTGTGTCAAGAGTATTAATTGATGTTACTGACGCCTTGGTAGCTAGGAAAGAACAATACATCAAATGGCCTACAAGTTAACAGAAAAATGTCAACAAACATGCTTTGAATGACAAAGCTGGGTTTCCAAATATAATAATATAAAAAACTGTACTAGATGACCCTTCCCCCTTTCTTGCAAAGTCACATATTAGGTTAACTGGAAACACCAGATGGATTTAACCAATGTTCTGGATAAGCTACATCTACAAACTGTTGAAAATTACAGAAATTACTAACTTCTTTATTTACAAAACCTGCTCAGCTTGAGACAGGAAATTTTAAGAGCCCAAAATTGCCAGTACCATTAAGCTGAAATGAAAACCTATCCGTATAAATTGACAAACAAACAATTTTTCTGCAATGGAAACGGCACTGATAGATGTTTGACACTTCACTTTTAAATTATGTTTTTACATGCCAATTATTTCATTTATACAGAGATATATGATACAATTGTATTATATTTCTCTGATTTTTAAAAATTATACCTGTAGCAGGTGCGTCAAATAATCCTACTTGACTGTATCTCTCCGCTTGGGAGGAGGAAGAGGAAGAGGAAGAGGAAAAGGATTTTCTATGAAGTTTTTGGAAATATTAGCACTTACATTTAAATAACCTCTTAACTCAAATATTACTGATCAATGACAAGTGTTTCGTTTTGACAAAAAAAAGCATATAGATAATGAACAACTTTCTATAGATTTAACTAATTTCTCTCTTTAGCATCACATTATTTTTGCATTTAATGTTTTTCACAAATGTATCCCATTTTGTGCAAACATCTGGCGTCATTCCATTTATTTGACCCGCTTTGAAAATGAACACAGTCTTCACCATTTCTCCAATTATCCGGCTGGTTAGGACTCCAATCACTAAACGTAACCGGTGTATTGTCAGAGACCCAAATAAAACGAGATTCTCGCGTTGAATCATGTGCTCCAATCCAAACACTTCCGCCTAAAACAAATAAAACAAAGTTAAAATACCATGCCCTTGATAAGATGTTCTATGAAGGGATATACATTTAACTGTTAAAACCTGAGATGTTCGATAAAGGGATATACATGAGGGTAGGAATGCCCTTTACCGTCAGGCGTCAAACGGTGATTTTCGGCTACCGTTAGCGTCAAATTGGTTAAAATTTTATGGTGATTTGTCAAAATGTCCTTATCGTGATTCGTCAGAGGTCTCAAATAATTAAACGTTACCGTTATTTTTGGAAAGAATTTAACGTGATTCGTCAAAATCAGTCGATGATTTTTTTATCGTCATAAAGAAAGTGTACATTTTATCGTCATGAACCAAAAATTACCGTTAACGTCATTTGGCCAGATTTCTTACAGTTATTCATCATGAAGGTACCCCCATTACGACCCTCATACATTTAACTGTTAAAACCCGAGATGTTCGATGCAGGAATATACATTTAACTGTTAAACCCCGAGATGTTCGCTGAAGGGATATATATTTAACTGTTAAACCCGAGATGTTCGATGAAGGGATATACATTTAACTGTTAAAACCCGAGATGTTAGATGAAAGGATATATATTTAACTGTTAAAACCCGAGATGTTCGAAGAAGGAATACGTATTTAACTGTTAAAAACCGAGATGTTCGATGAAGGGATATGTATTTAACTGTTAAAATAAATCCGAGATGTTAGATGAAAGGATATCCATTTACCTGCTAAAACCTGAGATGCAACCATCACTAATTAAATGTTTTCATTGAGAGTGACACGTTTCCGTGATAACATTCAGCAGGTACGTTCATGGTCATGGTTCATTGGTCGTGGAGGAATGATATTAAACACTTGAATGCACTGTACAAACACGAAATGAAGATAAGAAAATTAAGCGTCAAGAGGGGTTTTAAACCTTATTATTATCACAGTTACGTTTAAGCATAAGTTCATTCGCGTGGAATTTACAGAATGTGCACAAACAAAGTTAACATTAAAAGACAAATTGCAGTATAATAATAACAAACATTACATGCTACTGTCCGTAAGAAGGATAATGGTAATTTATAACAAACTTACCACTGACAAAAGATTTCAAAAACCAATTTTCAACAGCATCCTCAATTTTTACAAGGAAACCTCCTTTCCTCTGACAGTCTATCTTAAACAATGTAGATGAGGCATGAATAAAAATCAGTCTAATTATATGTTGACATAACTAAACACAAAATAGCATTTACATGGCTGCTTTGTAGCAGTAACTGCTTACCATCATTCAGAAGCACATAAAAGTTTGTTGGGGTTCGCCATGTTTGTTTTTAATCTTTTGATTTCTATACTTGCTTGTAACTGTATATTAATATTAGAATCAATTTATTTTATCCATGGTGTTGTTTGTTTTGATATAGGAAGATGTGGTATGAGTGCCAATGAGACAACTCTCCATCCAAGTTACAATTTATAAAAGTAAACCATTATAGGTCAAGGTACGGCCTTCAACACGGAGCATTGGCTCACACCGAACAGCAAGCTATAAAGGGCCCCAAAAAATTACTAGTGTAAAACCATTCAAACGGAAAAACCAACGGTCTAATCTATATAAAAGCGAGAAACGAGAAACACGTATGAACTACATAAACAGACGACAACTACTATAATCAGATTCCTGACTTAGGACAGGTGCAAACATTTTCAGCGGGATTAAACGTTTTAATGGTACCAAACCTTCTCCCTTTTCTGAAACAATAGTATAACATCACAACATAGAAAAACACACTATAAAATATCAATTGGAAGTCTTAACTCAATCAAAAAACGTAATTTTTAATTTGAACGAATAAATTTGACCTGTGACACCTGAATGCAAATACACAGTTAATAAAAAATTACAATTATTAAAATTATTGTTTGTTTGTTTTATTTGTAAAAATAAGGCTATTGATATCAAACACACTTTCCAACTCAAAAATTGAAGTGAATCTGGCAATTTGCCAAAAATCGAAAACGGTGAAAAGACAAACAGACCAGTCTGCAAAACACTACATAGAAACACCAAAGACTGACCAATATCAACCCATCAAAAATCGGGGTTGATCTCAAATGCTGCGGAAGGCTAAACATATCCTGCATCACATTATACCTGTCGTGTTGCTCATGTAAGAACATATTCAGTAATTAGTCTAATTCAGTGAAGTCACATTCGGAGAAAGAGGATGGATTTGTGATAACGACAAATTGATCATATCCGTGGTCATCTGTGACACATATATTATATAAAGATCAACCAATTAATGACGGTGTCTGTGAAACTTACGAAGGGTTGAATTCATCTTGACAACTTGAAACCCTTTGTTTAATTGTTTCCTTGTAAGCGCAAGCTCTCAAATATCGCATTTACAGATTAATGTATATCCCCTATGCAGGAACTGATGGATTTGTGCAACGTATAAATAGAAAGTTCACAATTGGGATGCTGAAATCATCTCGTTTGTCGTAAAGTTGTGTCTCTCATTTATAGATGTTAGACAAGATATATGAAATAGACTTAACTGCCTCTGTCGGATCCTTTATTTCATATCTTATGGGATAGATGCGTTCAAAGCAGTCACCAAAGTTTGAATTATGAAATGAGAGGAAATGACCTTGATAGCAGAACTTGAAGTTAAAGATAATGCTAGCTTTTTATTCATTTTTCCTGATAATCTACTGTATGAAGTACACCTCACTTGCACAAAGGAACGAGTCGGCAAAAAGAGGCGCACAGTTGGTTCTAATATTAATACCAATCGATTGTTGAAAAAACGTCCTCCTAAATTGTCAATAAATTACCAGGCATCTCAATAATGTCGGTTTTAATCTCTTATATTCCAGTGTGCTTGAGATTAAGGATACTACCGAAAGTAGAATGTCTTCGTCATAGGATGTTTTCCTCGACACCGGTTGACGACACCAAACTATAATTTATTGCAAACTTAATGATTTCAGCTTTGCAATTGTCCACTTCCCATTTCTCAGTGGTAGCATAACTTCTGCTCCATCATATGGTGTTAACATATCTCAATTATTTACAGGGGCGTGTTCCTAACACAAAAAACTGAAACAAAATTATGAGATAGAACGGCTGTTATCGACTCTGAGTAGGTTTTACGGTCACCATCAAGATTGGGTTGGTCGATACGATGTGTCTTTGTCTCAATATCGATATCATTTCTCGGTGTCAGATCTTTACAAAACAGTTGTGTCATATTCTCGTTTGTGACATTTTAACTGAATGCGGATTAGCATGGCGGAAGATAAATGCAGATCAGAAGACGTTTACACTATCCAGGCACCCTGCCTGGTCTATTTTTGAGTTTTTGTGATTGCCTTAGACTTTGTTACCTTGTTCGATTAACGAAAAAAATGAAAATCGGTTAACTACTGTCGCCATTGTTTATAGAATTTTGTTTTTGAATCAGAGAAGTATAACTTATCCATCCCTGAAACAAGAAATAAGTATCTAAGTTGACCGTCCTTGTTTATCAGGTGAGGGAGACTTAAATTGTATGTATTTCAAAAAATCTTTGGATTTGTTTAGTATCCCTATTTGATTCACACTGTCCATAGAGTAGGTAATTTCACAATACCTCTGTTGTTATTCTATGATTGCTCCTATTGTTTTTTTTTATCTTTTTTTAACTGAAGCATGCACTGCAAATGAAATAGATATATTGATAAATGGATAGATTGACAGACAGATAGGGGTAGATGGATGGAAGAATGTACCAGCATTATTTTACGCGAACTAGTTAAATGAATAATAAATTCTTTTATATTCTTGGTACTCAATTACATAAAGATGTAACTTAAAGCGTCTGGCATGAATATAGAATAGATATGCGGATTAAGTTTTCAAATGTAGTTCATACGTAAGGGCAGTGTTTAAATAAACTGACACATAACATTTTAACAACAACAAAAAATCATTTGATATTTTATTTCATTTAAACTTACTTTTGCTTCATTCCATGTCTTTTTTGAATTCAATTGAAAGTTATAACAACTTCCCATAAACCGACCCCAACCAGATCCACAGGCCACTTTCTTAGCTTTAAAAAACATAAATATTCATATTTAAACTGCAATGTTTATATAACACGTATAATAATAACTATTTAATACATATACATAATAGAGAGGAGAATAGTCGGATTCAAGTCAGAATAACAGTAACATAGACAAATACAAACACCTTGAAATATCTATTGATAATTTTGTGTCATTTTATTGTGTTATTTGTCAAACAACATTAAAGAATTATTTGTATTTAAAAGTTAATAATAACCATCTCTATTTTTAGTTTAGAGAGTTTTTATCTTCTATATTTAGATTTTTGATTATTTTCATGTGTAGTGTTCCTTTTGAGCAAACGACTGTTTTACAGAAGAATTTAGATTGTGTTTGTCAGATAATTGAGCAAAATATGTTTAGCCCACATCTTCCTTTGATCAGACCATCTTTTTTTTTATCAATTCACTGTTCATTAAAGTTTGAAATCTTTCGAAGCATTTAGGTTTTACTATCTCCACGTTTGGAGTACTCAATTATTTTATGGTATCTCATGTATTTGTATTCATACTTTAAGATGAATGAGTGAATTTCGCTGGTTTGGTTTTGGGTCTGTGTAATCAATATGAAGATAAATCATGAACTACTCTTCAAACAAACAAAAATATCCCGGCTTTTTTCAGATTCTGAAATATCGAATATATCGATATCATACCTGGTTCTCTAACACTTCCCTTTTCGCCCTTTTCCCCACCTGCTCCTAAAATAAAATATATAAAATGACACACCAGTACTATAAATAGAAGCAAACATTTTCTTTCACATACAAAATCTATAAATTTCATTCTGATTTGAAAAAAAAATGAATCGACTTTAGAAACATGCAAACTAATACCAGTTAATGTGTGGTTTGTTATACAGAAAGTACGGGAAAATGTTCGCTTTCGGTAAATAGGTATATAACTTGAGCAACACGACGGGTGCCACATGTGGAGCAGGATCTGCTTACCGTTCCGGAGCATCTGAGATCACCCCCAGTTTTTGGTGGGGTTCATGTTGCTTAGTCTTTAGTTTTCTATGTTGTGTCATCTGTACTATTATTTGTCTATTTGTCTTTTTATTTTTGGCCATGGCGTTGTCAGTTTGTTTTCGATCTATGAGTTTGACTGTCCCTCTGGTATCTTTCGTCCCTCATGTAAATAGATTTGTTTACGAAAATGTTTTCTTCCAATATATAGTTTATACCCAATTAATAGTTGTTTTAGAATAATAACCCGTAAATAGTCTTTTTTAGACAATTCCGTAAAAATAATTAAGATTTTCGTCTATATTTTTATAACGAAAATACATACAGAGGTACAATAGTTTACACTTACTCCTGGCTATGAGGACAAATGCAGGTTTATTGTTCCTCGAGACACTAACTATTTGCCGACGCGAAGCGAAGAGAAATAGTTAGTGTCTCGGAAAACAATAAACTGACTTTTGTTCGAATAGCCAGTAAACGAGTGTTTACTATATAGAAAGAAACGTGTATATAGTTCTAATCAATTAACGGTTATTTTGTTTATACTACAATTCCTACACCTGTTTTTATTGAAATATTTGAGAGAAACCATATTATTTTTTATTTAGAGTAACGTCATAAAGAAAATTCGACGGAAGCGCATTGCTAACGACATAAAAATGGAGATAAATGGTCAGTGGCTGCAGATCACAAATTAATAAAGATGCAATACAATGTGACTGTGCCAACAGCACAGTTGCAGTATAATACACACACTTTATTTGCATATACTTTTGTAAAGAAAAAACATACTGATGTATAGTGTCTATCACAACGAAAACTCATAAAGCTGTATGTTCAATTACTTTTTTAACGATCCTAGGCCCCTGTTGGTTCTCATGTATGTAATACATGAACGTTTAGCAGGAATATAACATTATCATTACTGTTGTCTTGATATTCATACGTCTTAAAGTATGGACCAATTTATATCAGGAGTGACTACTACTATTTAGTGCTTTAGTGATACCTTTAATACTTTAACACAACTGTTTCAATTTAATTAGTCTAAGCCTTAGTTGATCTGTGTATAATCGGTCTCAAACTTTTGACGAAACGGAATAAAAAAAAATTATAACATGAGTCCTTACAATTACTCAAAACATTATTAATACACTTTGTACTTTAACACAAACGTTTCTATTGAAATTGTCCTGACCTTAAACGAGTTGTATATAATTGAACACTTTGACCATTGTAACCAAATGCACCTTTCTGTCCTGTAGTACCCATGTCTCCATTGATACCCTTTTCGCCGTGTTCACCTTTCAAGCCAGGTACTCCAGTTTCCCCCATTTGACCTTTAACACCAGTGACTCCCTTTGTACCATTTACACCTTTGTTTCCGGTAGGACCAATTATGCCAGATGATCCCATCTCGCCCTTTGAACCCTTTTGACCCTCTGTACCTTTAACGCCAGCTACACCCTTTTCTGCGTCTAGACCTTTTGCACCATCTGGGCCTTTATCTCCGATTGTTCCTTTTTCGCCTTTTTCTCCAATTGGTCCTTTCTTCCCTGTTGGTCCTTTTTCACCAACTGTTCCTTTATCTCCATTTGGTCCATTTTCGCCTGTTACGCCTTTATCTCCCATTGATCCTTTTTCGCCTGTTACGCCTCTATCTCCCATTGGTCCATTTTTGCCTTTTATGCCTTTTTCTCCGTTTCGACCTTTTATCCCTGTTGATCCCTTTTCACCAATTGTTCCTTTATCTCCAATTTGACCTTTTGATCCTACAAAACCATTGTTTCCTTTTTCGCCTTTAACGCCCTGTCTGCCAATTGGTCCTATAAGTCCATTGTCGCCTCTTTCACCTTTCTCTCCTTTTTCACCAGCGTTGCCTTGATTACCATCAGCACCCGCTTTGCCTCTAGCTCCCTTATCACCTTTAAACAGTTCTTCCATATCACTGCCATCTTTAATAAAATGAAATGTATTATATAGAAGGAAAAAATAAATGGTAAGACCTTTTTGAATAAACCGAGGTAAGGAGTATACGTCAATGAGAAGGCATATTAGCAAAACTGTATTTTTTTTTTTATTACAAACCTCTGTTAAATAAAGTTATCCCTAATGAGCGTGCGTTTTATCTTCTTAAACGTGCTATTTATATTCGACTCTCCGAAAGTTTTGTTTCGAATTTTACCTTATATGGTTGTTAAAAAAACACGTGAGATAAGCCCGGTAATCGGAATCATATGTTTGTTTTTATATGATATGATTTTGTCTGAAGTTTGCCGAGAAAATTATCAGTTTTCTTCGTACTTAAATATTTGAGAAGATTATTTAATTTAAGTCTACGTGAACTTACATGATAATTGACCTTGTTTGTCTAGACTTGTAAGTTTTGAGGTATCAATTGTCCATTGATGTATCTGCTTTTCTAGTCTTACACTTCTTTCTATATTATCTGGAATAGATTATTGATTATATTATAAATAATACAAAATATTCAATTTTTTAAGTGGTAACAAACACCTTGACTAAAATTAATTTGGCTCTTTTCATAAAATTTTGACAAAATATTTATTTTGACCCTTAGACAAAAATATAAAAAAAATCAAAAAACTTGTGCAATACACTTTGTCGGAAAAATTGTATTGATAATAAAGCAGTTTGACAAACACTGATTTTGATCATTGAGAAGCTAAATATTTTAAAACTTCAGCTAATTTTTACAGAGTTATCTCCCTGTAGTGTTATATGCCACCTTAATGTGTACAATGATTCAAAAGTATCAGCATCAACAGTCATCTATAAATTAAACTGTATTTTTCTAGATGTATGATGCTAGCATAGAACTCGGAGTTGTGTGGTTTCAATTTATGAAAATACTTTTAAATGGAATTTGCTGTTTCTGCCAAGCATGTGGAAGTAGCAGCAAAGACTGGTAGACATGTACTCCCGCAGTGTTTATTAAACCGCGTGTTATATTTGTCACTTGCCGTTTACTATAGTAATAAAATTCTGCATTCATGTCTTATTTTTTTTTTTTTCAATTGACTTGCTCATGTATGGTGACTCATAGAAACTGTTTACTGTATAACAGGATGGCGTGGCATCAATGCGTCACCAAACCCCGCTGACTACAAAAATGTCGGATATTGCCATGGTAGTTAGACGAGTTAAATGAAAACCTACGTTTTAAACAGTTTCTTATTAACTATATTTTAGATAGATATAAGAAGAGGTGGTATGAGTGCCAATGAGACAACTCTCCATCAAAGAAGCTGAATCTACCTTTAAAGATTAGAGACTGTTAGAGACTGTTTATTTATACAGACAAGGCAGATTAATGTTTAAACCAGTTGTATGAACGTAAGTCGGATTAATATTGAATTCGTATGGACTCATTTACCTTTGTAACTTATTAATCGCCAAATTGTCTCATGGACACATTTACTATAGATAGCAAAACATGATATTTACTATGTACGGTATAAAAACGCATTTTAATATACAAATACAATCAAAATTTATCACATAGATGTAAATTTTTCTTTAATTTCTAATGCAAATAACTTTTAAAACAAACTGACATTATTTATTTAGAAATCTTGTAAAAAAATGAGAGATAATAATTTGTGTAGTTCATTTTAAGAATGAACACCTTTATCTAACGAATAACCAATCAAAAGTTTCGTATCAAACGTTATCTGTATCGCCAAAATGAATGGAAAATGACACCAAAAGTGACATGACAATTTTATATCAAAAGATCGAGACAATTTTTTGTGAAAACAGGTAAAATTAAGCAAACAAATTTATAAAATGTTTATATATTTTCTCGAAATTAAAAATCAACTGCATGTTGTAACCGCATCTGCAACAATTGATAATCGTTTAAATGATATTTAAATAAGTAGGTTTTAATAGGGTTTTTATTTATGTTGAAAGTCTTTTTAGCACATTTGGTTTATTTATTTATTTTTTTTTACCTTTTTCGAATTCGTTGCAGATGGAAAATATTTAATTGTATCTGGAAAAATTGCTCACGATATTAAAGACCTATAGACTATTTTAATAAATAACGACTGTATAAGTTACTTTAACACTGTTTATAAACTTACCATTCAAATACACGAAATTGACTACAACTGCCAATGAAATACAAAATAACTGCACAACTATAAAGGCTAGAATTAAATTATCTCTTTTCCTACTCGCTTTATGAATTTCAGAAAGTTTAATATTCCATACATCATCTTTAAAATTATCACCACTTTGAAAAGGTTCAGTCTGCAGAATGTTTACAAGCTCAACTTGTTCACCCATTTTTAATGATGACGTTGCTTTTTAAATCTGCCTTCTGTAAGATTAAACAACCAGTAATGTGTGAAGCGGTGACGACTTTCTTTCATGATTATATAAATTCATTGCTCTACAACTTTATTGAATATTTTGTCACAGTTTTCAACAACGTATAATTTTTTTCGAGTGCCTTAGGAGACACAAACTTCTTAAAAGTCCTTCAACTATCCTCATCTGTCAACTTAACATAAGCGCTCTACTAAACATAATACGTTAATTTGAAGGATGTACTTGAACAATTATTTGGTTTGTATAACACATCAATTAATTCGTTTATAAAAAAGGAAAAGTTTATTTGTATTTAAGATGCCTTTTCACTGTCTAAACAGTATACGTTTTATCTTTATCCGTTACAATTTTCATCTTTTACTTTGGTAAAAAAGTAAAGCAAGAGTCTTCATACTTCTAGCATCATTACTTTATTGCAGATGAAGGGTTATTTTTGTTAATGGAACAAAACGAGAAATTGACTAAAAAGTTTAAAAGGTGAAAAGGGTAATATGGAGATAACATTCTAGTGGGTTACAAACGTATAAATGTAGATGAAGTTCCGAAATAACAGAAAGAAAAAATAGTTGTTAAGGATCAAGTTAGCGCAAATGGTCTAACCGTTGACAATGTGTGCTTGATCATAGAAGCTCTAAAAGTAATAGAAGTTTTGTGGTAGAATCAGTCAAACCAAATTGAAAAAAATAACTTGAGGAAAGGTGGAATTCGTAGTTCAATCATTCTATTTAAAAAATAGCAAATTATCTTCGATTATTATTATATATATTCCTTCACTCCATGTTTATTGTAAAGGAAATTCAATGGTAACTTCATGTACTATATATTTTGTGTATCTTGTTCCTATTCACATTTACAACCGTATCCCCATGACTGGGTAAAGAATTCACATCAAATTGAGTCTTTCATTATCAATTATGATGATTATTTATAGGACAAAACAATGGCTATTGCAATTACGTATGCAATATTGCAGCAATATTAGGACCTTTGATTTTTCTACGCTTTACACTACTGTTCCCCATGCTCAATTGAAAGATCTCCTTCACCATCTCATTAAACAGAGCGTTTTCTATAAAAATTGGAACCGTAGATATAAATTTCTTGTTTTTGGTTATAATAATTCTTATTTTGTGAAGAACCACACTGATTCTATCAAAAAATACAGTGAAAATGATAATATCAAAATGCTGGACATTTTAATCGACAATATATTCGTTGAGTTTGGATGATTGATATTTCAACAGACAGTCAGTATTCCAATGAGTAATAATTGTGCACCCCTTCTGGTCGACTTGTTTTTGTACTCCTATGAAACAGAATTCCTTCAGAATCTTCTAAAAGACAAAAAGAAAAATCACCTTGCAAAATTCTTTAATTTGACTTTCAGCTATATTGATGATGTCTTATCACTAAATAACCCATATTTCAGTCAAAACTTGCATCTCATATACCCCAGTGAACTTGAAATTAAGGATACTACTGATGCAAGAAGGACTGTTTAATACCTTGATATTTTCCTCAATATTGACACAGATGGACGACTTCACACTAAAATTTATGACAAACGGGATGATTTCAACTTCCCAATTATCAATTTCCCATTTCTCAGCATTAACAGACCCGCTGCTCCGTCGTATGGTGTTTACATATCTCAATTGATACGTTATTGATGCATATTCACACTATATTGATTTCAAATACAGGAGTGTGCTCCTTACGCAGAAAATGCTCCAATTTTGTACGAATCATAGTCATTTCGTACCATAACCATTTCGTACCACCCATTTGGTACCATAACAAAAACCATTTGGTACCATAACCAATTCGTAAAATGACCATTTCGTTCCATAAGGAAGATTATAATGTATACCATTACGTACCATATGTGAGATTATAATGTTTACCATTTAGTACCATATGGGAAATTATAATGTATACCATTTCGCACCATGTTAGTGTTGAAGAAGCAAATTATTCTCAAAAATATGTAAAGTTAAAACACGGTTAGTGCGTCATTAGTCGATTGGTCTTGCTGAATCATAATGGTTATACAATTTGTGCCTTACATTGTAAATAATTTGTCATATACATGGAAAAATTCAAATAGCTGTTTAATTGGCAATCACACCACATTAAATACAAGTTACATGTAAATTCTTTATTAATAAAAAAATACGAAAAGTTTAACGGTATTTCATCTTTCATTTAAAACTGAATATTTTTCTTGCACCAAGTGTGATATGATAAAGTTCAATTTTCATATAGTACGAAATGATACTGCAATTTGTCTCATATGGTACGAAATGGTAAAGCTTTTTTTCCATATGGTACGAAATAGTAAAGCATTTTTCCATATGGTACGGAATTGTAAATCTTTTTTTCCATATGGTACGGAATGGGTTTTTTTTTTTGTACGAAATGGTTTCTTTTGGTACGAAATGGTTTATATTCATCGTACGAAATGGTAAATTCATGGTACGAAATGGTAATTTTGGGAACGAGATGGCAATGGTTCGAAATGGTTATGATACGAAATGACTAGATACCTTTTGTACATCCAACATTCATGTATTTATTTTTGATGTGTCTGTTATGGTTTCGGTTGAATAATGTGTTATGTCTTATCGTTTGCTGTCCAAATAATTATAAAATTGCCTTTCAATACCATCATTGTCATATTCCCGAATATGACTGTTATACCGAGTGTGAATTTGCTTTGCTATACTACGTGTCTCGGTACTTAGTACATCCAACATACATGTATTAATTTTTGATTAATTGTTATTGTTTCGGTTACATAATAAAAAAGCTTTTTTTGTCAGAAGAAGTTCCTGACAAGGAGCAGGCAAATTCTGCTGTATCAGATAGTGATACAGAAGACTACAATTTGTTCAAGTATGAATACTCTGAAGACCTTGATGCTGCTTTAAAAATACAAGAAAATACAAGATGATTTAAAAATTGGATTGTGTATTTTGTCTTTCTCTGTGTTTGGTTCCTTATGATGTACTTATTCAATTAAAGACTTGATCTTCAAAAATTTCCTTATTATTGAATTTTCGTACAAAAACCTCCTTACAATTGCAGTATTGTCACTCTGGGTTCATGACATTCCTACGGCTGTCAGTGTGACTAAAAAGAGATGAGGGTATAAGAAAATGAGACAGCAACCCAAATGACACACATCATAAGATGTATCGTCTACATATAAAGTCTACATTATAAAAATAAGGAGATATGGTATGATTGCCATTGAGACAACTGTCCACCAGACTTCAAATACGTTGATATAAGCAATTATAGGACAACGTACAACAATGACAAAAACCCATACATTAAGTCCGCTATAAAAGACATGAAAAATGTAAAACAATTTAAAAGAGAAACCCATGTCTGTCAACCAGGGTTACCGATTCACCTGACTTTGACCTTATTTCATTAAACAGTGATCAAGGTCAATTTTTTTAGGGTCAAGTCTGCATCTCAGATACTAAAGTAAAGAATAAACTATGATTGGTATGTAATATTTGTATAGTGTACATGTCAATCTGGTTGGTTTCTGACCTTGACCTTTCATGATTTATTGATCAACATTCAGTATTGATTGAAACTGTTTCCCAAATACTATGATCAACATCTCAACTATCTTTGGTGTATAGAATTATTACCATAGATAAATGTCCTTTTGGCGAGGTTCATATGAATTTGACATTTTTTTCATGGAATTTGATAATCATGATAATGTTATATTTGGGATATCTAGTTAAATGTTAAAAACTTTCAACATGAAATTCAAACATGTCAGAAAAGCAGAGGGTAAGGACTCCAGTCAGTCTTTTTCAATACACTAGTAAAATAAGATGTCAAAAAGAAGCAAACAAAAGATGATTGAACAGAAAGCCAAATACTACTACTATGAGGACAGAGACTAGTTCTTAGAATAATTAGGAGGTTAATACTGAATACTAATGATATTTCAAGTATATCAAGTGAAAAGATATATCCTCAATTTCGCTTCACCAATATCGCTTTTCACAAGCTTTGTTAAAAGGAAGGCAACAGTAGTATACCGCTGTTCAATAGTCATAATTCGATTAAGCAAAAACAAATCCGGGTGCTGTGTTCCAGAAAATAATGTTCTGAATATGTATTAATTTTCATAGGGAATGACAGGATGCACACCATTCTGCAGTTAAAAAAAAATCTACAAGGTCCGATTTGACCTAGAGGATTTGGAAGTTGACACGGTATTTTCTTTATACGACATATTTGGTTTTGGAGATGAAAGAACACACTACATTCTGAGTTTGTCAGATAACACTGGTATAGCAGGTAATAATAACCTATTAGTTAAATGATAATAAATAAAGGCAACAGTAGAATACCGGTGTTCGAAAGTCATAAATCGATTGAGAGAAAACAAATCCGGGTTACAAACTAAAATCGAGGAAAAAATCAACTATAAAATGAAAAAAATGAACAACAGGAACACCGAAGGGCAACAAAAACAAACGCCAACATACATAGAAACGAACTATTTGTTAACAACTGCAATATTCCTGACTTGGTACAGGACATTTTAAGAAAAGAAATGGTGGGTTGAACCTGGTTTAATGGCTAGCCAAACCTCCCGCTTTATGACAATGTTAACAAATATCACTGAATTGACAATACTACGTGACAGAAATACAGCAAAAACACACATGAGAACATTCATCACAGAGAAACGCACACAACGTGCAAACCGCAGAACAACAACAAACATATTCCATCAACAACAGACACCACAGGATATAAAAAAAAGTGACGCGCTTACGTAACTAACATGCAATCTCGAACTTTATACAATTATTTTCACAATACTCGTCCAAACAATTTTCATGACAATAATAGTGTTGAAAGGCAATTTTATAATTATTTGGACTACAAACGATAAGACATATCACATTATGTAACCGAAACAATAACAATTAATCAAAAATTAATACATGTATGTTGGATGTACTAAGTACCGAGACACGTAGTATAGCAAAGCAAATTCACACTCGGTATAACAGTCATATTCGGGAATATGACAATGATGGTATTGAAAGGCAATTTTATAATTATTTGGACAGCAAACGATAAGACATAACACATTATTCAACCGAAACCATAACAGACACATCAAAAATAAATACATGAATGTTGGATGTACAAAAGGTATCTAGTCATTTCGTATCATAACCATTTCGAACCATTGCCATCTCGTTCCCAAAATTACCATTTCGTACCATGAATTTACCATTTCGTACGATGAATATAAACCATTTCGTACCAAAAGAAACCATTTCGTACAAAAAAAAAACCCATTCCGTACCATATGGAAAAAAAGATTTACAATTCCGTACCATATGGAAAAATGCTTTACTATTTCGTACCATATGGAAAAAAAGCTTTACCATTTCGTACCATATGAGACAAATTGCAGTATCATTTCGTACTATATGAAAATTGAACTTTATCATATCACACTTGGTGCAAGAAAAATATTCAGTTTTAAATGAAAGATGAAATACCGTTAAACTTTTCGTATTTTTTTATTAATAAAGAATTTACATGTAACTTGTATTTAATGTGGTGTGATTGTCAATTAAACAGCTATTTGAATTTTTCCATGTATATGACAAATTATTTACAATGTAAGGCACAAATTGTATAACCATTATGATTCAGCAAGACCAATCGACTAATGACGCACTAACCGTGTTTTAACTTTACATATTTTTGAGAATAATTTGCTTCTTCAACACTAACATGGTGCGAAATGGTATACATTATAATTTCCCATATGGTACTAAATGGTAAACATTATAATCTTCCATATGGTACGTAATGGTATACATTATAATCTTCCTTATGGAACGAAATGGTCATTTTACGAATTGGTTATGGTACCAAATGGTTTTTGTTATGGTACCAAATGGGTGGTACGAAATGGTTATGGTACGAAATGACTATGATTCGTACAAAATTGGAGCATTTTCTGCGTAAGGAGCACACTCCTGTATTTGAAATAAATATAGTGTGAATATGCATCAATAACGTATCAATTGAGATATGTAAACACCATACGACGGAGCAGCGGGTCTGTTAATGCTGAGAAATGGGAAATTGATAATTGGGAAGTTGAAATCATCCCGTTTGTCATAAATTTTAGTGTGAAGTCGTCCATCTGTGTCAATATTGAGGAAAATATCAAGGTATTAAACAGTCCTTCTTGCATCAGTAGTATCCTTAATTTCAAGTTCACTGGGGTATATGAGATGCAAGTTTTGACTGAAATATGGGTTATTTAGTGATAAGACATCATCAATATAGCTGAAAGTCAAATTAAAGAATTTTGCAAGGTGATTTTTCTTTTTGTCTTTTAGAAGATTCTGAAGGAATTCTGTTTCATAGGAGTACAAAAACAAGTCGACCAGAAGGGGTGCACAATTATTACTCATTGGAATACTGACTGTCTGTTGAAATATCAATCATCCAAACTCAACGAATATATTGTCGATTAAAATGTCCAGCATTTTGATATTATCATTTTCACTGTATTTTTTGATAGAATCAGTGTGGTTCTTCACAAAATAAGAATTATTATAACCAAAAACAAGAAATTTATATCTACGGTTCCCATTTTTATAGAAAACGCTCTGTTTAATGAGATGGTGAAGGAGATCTTTCAATTGAGCATGGGAAACAGTAGTGTAAAGCGTAGAAAAATCAAAGGTCCTAATATTGCTGCAATATTGCATACGTAATTGCAATAGCCATTGTTTTGTCCTATAAATAATCATCATAATTGATAATGAAAGACTCAATTTGATGTGAATTCTTTACCCAGTCATGGGGATACGGTTGTAAATGTGAATAGGAACAAGATACACAAAATATATAGTACATGAAGTTACCATTGAATTTCCTTTACAATAAACATGGAGTGAAGGAATATATATAATAATAATCGAAGATAATTTGCTATTTTTTAAATAGAATGATTGCACTACGAATTCCACCTTTCCTCAAGTTATTTTTTTCAATTTGGTTTGACTGATTCTACCACAAAACTTCTATTACTTTTAGAGCTTCTATGATCAAGCACACATTGTCAACGGTTGGACCATTTGCGCTAACTTGATCCTTAACAACTATTTTTTCTTTCTGTTATTTCGGAACTTCATCTACATTTATACGTTTGTAACCCACTAGAATGTTATCTCCATATTACCCTTTTCACCTTTTAAACTTTTTAGTCAATTTCTCGTTTTGTTCCATTAACAAAAATAACCCTTCATCTGCAATAAAGTAATGATGCTAGAAGTATGAAGACTCTTGCTTTACTTTTTTACCAAAGTAAAAGATGAAAATTGTAACGGATAAAGATAAAACGTATACTGTTTAGACAGTGAAAAAGCATCTTAAATACAAATAAACTTTTCCTTTTTTATAAACGAATTAATTGATGTGTTATACAAACCAAATAATTGTTCAAGTACATCCTTCAAATTAACGTATTATGTTTAGTAGAGCGCTTATGTTAAGTTGACAGATGAGGATAGTTGAAGGACTTTTAAGAAGTTTGTGTCTCCTAAGGCACTCGAAAAAAATTATACGTTGTTGAAAACTGTGACAAAATATTCAATAAAGTTGTAGAGCAATGAATTTATATAATCATGAAAGAAAGTCGTCACCGCTTCACACATTACTGGTTGTTTAATCTTACAGAGCTTGTAAACATTCTGCAGACTGAACCTTTTCAAAGTGGTGATAATTTTCAAGATGATGTATGGAATATTAAACTTTCTGAAATTCATAAAGCGAGTAGGAAAAGAGATAATTTAATTCTAGCCTTTATAGTTGTGCAGTTATTTTGTATTTCATTGGCAGTTGTAGTCAATTTCGTGTATTTTAATGGTAAGTATATAAACAGTGTTAAAGTAACTTATACAGTCGTTATTTATTAAAATAGTCTATAGGTCTTTAATATCGTGAGCAATTTTTCCAGATACAATTAAATATTTTCCATCTGCAACGAATTCGAAAAAGGTAAAAAAAAAAATAAATAAATAAACCAAATGTGCTAAAAATACTTTCAACATAAATAAAAACCCTATTAAAACCTACTTATTTAAATATCATTTAAACGATTATCAATTGTTGCAGATGCGGTTACAACATGCAGTTGATTTTTAATTTCGAGAAAATATATAAACATTTTATAAATTTGTTTGCTTAATTTTACCTGTTTTCACAAAAAATTGTCTCGATCTTTTGATATAAAATTGTCATGTCACTTTTGGTGTCATTTTCCATTCATTTTGGCGATACAGATAACGTTTGATACGAAACTTTTGATTGGTTATTCGTTAGATAAAGATGTTCATTCTTAAAATGAACTACACAAATTATTATCTCTCATTTTTTTACAAGATTTCTAAATAAATAATGTCAGTTTGTTTTAAAAGTTATTTGCATTAGAAATTAAAGAAAAATTTACATCTATGTGATAAATTTTGATTGTATTTGTATATTAAAATGCGTTTTTATACCGTACATAGTAAATATCATGTTTTGCTATCTATAGTAAATGTGTCCATGAGACACTTTGGCGATTAATAAGTTACAAAGGTAAATGAGTCCATACGAATTCAATATTAATCCGACTTACGTTCATACAACTGGTTTAAACATTAATCTGCCTTGTCTGTATAAATAAACAGTCTCTAACAGTCTCTAATCTTTAAAGGTAGATTCAGCTTCTTTGATGGAGAGTTGTCTCATTGGCACTCATACCACCTCTTCTTATATCTATCTAAAATATAGTTAATAAGAAACTGTTTAAAACGTAGGTTTTCATTTAACTCGTCTAACTACCATGGCAATATCCGACATTTTTGTAGTCAGCGGGGTTTGGTGACGCATTGATGCCACGCCATCCTGTTATACAGTAAAAAGTTTCTATGAGTCACCATACATGAGCAAGTCAATTGAAAAAAAAAAAAAATAAGACATGAATGCAGAATTTTATTACTATAGTAAACGGCAAGTGACAAATATAACACGCGGTTTAATAAACACTGCGGGAGTACATGTCTACCAGTCTTTGCTGCTACTTCCACATGCTTGGCAGAAACAGCAAATTCCATTTAAAAGTATTTTCATAAATTGAAACCACACAACTCCGAGTTCTATGCTAGCATCATACATCTAGAAAAATACAGTTTAATTTATAGATGACTGTTGATGCTGATACTTTTGAATCATTGTACACATTAAGGTGGCATATAACACTACAGGGAGATAACTCTGTAAAAATTAGCTGAAGTTTTAAAATATTTAGCTTCTCAATGATCAAAATCAGTGTTTGTCAAACTGCTTTATTATCAATACAATTTTTCCGACAAAGTGTATTGCACAAGTTTTTTGATTTTTTTTATATTTTTGTCTAAGGGTCAAAATAAATATTTTGTCAAAATTTTATGAAAAGAGCCAAATTAATTTTAGTCAAGGTGTTTGTTACCACTTAAAAAATTGAATATTTTGTATTATTTATAATATAATCAATAATCTATTCCAGATAATATAGAAAGAAGTGTAAGACTAGAAAAGCAGATACATCAATGGACAATTAATACCTCAAAACTTACAAGTCTAGACAAACAAGGTCAATTATCATGTAAGTTCACGTAGACTTAAATTAAATAATCTTCTCAAATATTTAAGTACGAAGAAAACTGATAATTTTCTCGGCAAACTTCAGACAAAATCATATCATATAAAAACAAACATATGATTCCGATTACCGGGCTTATCTCACGTGTTTTTTTAACAACCATATAAGGTAAAATTCGAAACAAAACTTTCGGAGAGTCGAATATAAATAGCACGTTTAAGAAGATAAAACGCACGCTCATTAGGGATAACTTTATTTAACAGAGGTTTGTAATAAAAAAAAAATACAGTTTTGCTAATATGCCTTCTCATTGACGTATACTCCTTACCTCGGTTTATTCAAAAAGGTCTTACCATTTATTTTTTCCTTCTATATAATACATTTCATTTTATTAAAGATGGCAGTGATATGGAAGAACTGTTTAAAGGTGATAAGGGATCTAGAGGCAAAGCGGGTGCTAATGGTAATCAAGGCAACGCTAGTGAAAAAGGAGAGAAAGGTGAAAGAGGCGACAATGGACTTATAGGACCAATTGGCAGACAGGGCGTTAAAGGCGAAAAAGGAAACAATGGTTTTGTAGGATCAAAAGGTCAAATTGGAGATAAAGGAACAATTGGTGAAAAGGGATCAACAGGGATAAAAGGTCGAAACGGAGAAAAAGGCATAAAAGGCAAAAATGGACCAATGGGAGATAGAGGCGTAACAGGCGAAAAAGGATCAATGGGAGATAAAGGCGTAACAGGCGAAAATGGACCAAATGGAGATAAAGGAACAGTTGGTGAAAAAGGACCAACAGGGAAGAAAGGACCAATTGGAGAAAAAGGCGAAAAAGGAACAATCGGAGATAAAGGCCCAGATGGTGCAAAAGGTCTAGACGCAGAAAAGGGTGTAGCTGGCGTTAAAGGTACAGAGGGTCAAAAGGGTTCAAAGGGCGAGATGGGATCATCTGGCATAATTGGTCCTACCGGAAACAAAGGTGTAAATGGTACAAAGGGAGTCACTGGTGTTAAAGGTCAAATGGGGGAAACTGGACTACCTGGCTTGAAAGGTGAACACGGCGAAAAGGGTATCAATGGAGACATGGGTACTACAGGACAGAAAGGTGCATTTGGTTACAATGGTCAAAGTGTTCAATTATATACAACTCGTTTAAGGTCAGGACAATTTCAATAGAAACGTTTGTGTTAAAGTACAAAGTGTATTAATAATGTTTTGAGTAATTGTAAGGACTCATGTTATAATTTTTTTTTATTCCGTTTCGTCAAAAGTTTGAGACCGATTATACACAGATCAACTAAGGCTTAGACTAATTAAATTGAAACAGTTGTGTTAAAGTATTAAAGGTATCACTAAAGCACTAAATAGTAGTAGTCACTCCTGATATAAATTGGTCCATACTTTAAGACGTATGAATATCAAGACAACAGTAATGATAATGTTATATTCCTGCTAAACGTTCATGTATTACATACATGAGAACCAACAGGGGCCTAGGATCGTTAAAAAAGTAATTGAACATACAGCTTTATGAGTTTTCGTTGTGATAGACACTATACATCAGTATGTTTTTTCTTTACAAAAGTATATGCAAATAAAGTGTGTGTATTATACTGCAACTGTGCTGTTGGCACAGTCACATTGTATTGCATCTTTATTAATTTGTGATCTGCAGCCACTGACCATTTATCTCCATTTTTATGTCGTTAGCAATGCGCTTCCGTCGAATTTTCTTTATGACGTTACTCTAAATAAAAAATAATATGGTTTCTCTCAAATATTTCAATAAAAACAGGTGTAGGAATTGTAGTATAAACAAAATAACCGTTAATTGATTAGAACTATATACACGTTTCTTTCTATATAGTAAACACTCGTTTACTGGCTATTCGAACAAAAGTCAGTTTATTGTTTTCCGAGACACTAACTATTTCTCTTCGCTTCGCGTCGGCAAATAGTTAGTGTCTCGAGGAACAATAAACCTGCATTTGTCCTCATAGCCAGGAGTAAGTGTAAACTATTGTACCTCTGTATGTATTTTCGTTATAAAAATATAGACGAAAATCTTAATTATTTTTACGGAATTGTCTAAAAAAGACTATTTACGGGTTATTATTCTAAAACAACTATTAATTGGGTATAAACTATATATTGGAAGAAAACATTTTCGTAAACAAATCTATTTACATGAGGGACGAAAGATACCAGAGGGACAGTCAAACTCATAGATCGAAAACAAACTGACAACGCCATGGCCAAAAATAAAAAGACAAATAGACAAATAATAGTACAGATGACACAACATAGAAAACTAAAGACTAAGCAACATGAACCCCACCAAAAACTGGGGGTGATCTCAGATGCTCCGGAACGGTAAGCAGATCCTGCTCCACATGTGGCACCCGTCGTGTTGCTCAAGTTATATACCTATTTACCGAAAGCGAACATTTTCCCGTACTTTCTGTATAACAAACCACACATTAACTGGTATTAGTTTGCATGTTTCTAAAGTCGATTCATTTTTTTTTCAAATCAGAATGAAATTTATAGATTTTGTATGTGAAAGAAAATGTTTGCTTCTATTTATAGTACTGGTGTGTCATTTTATATATTTTATTTTAGGAGCAGGTGGGGAAAAGGGCGAAAAGGGAAGTGTTAGAGAACCAGGTATGATATCGATATATTCGATATTTCAGAATCTGAAAAAAGCCGGGATATTTTTGTTTGTTTGAAGAGTAGTTCATGATTTATCTTCATATTGATTACACAGACCCAAAACCAAACCAGCGAAATTCACTCATTCATCTTAACGTATGAATACAAATACATGAGATACCATAAAATAATTGAGTACTCCAAACGTGGAGATAGTAAAACCTAAATGCTTCGAAAGATTTCAAACTTTAATGAACAGTGAATTGATAAAAAAAAAGATGGTCTGATCAAAGGAAGATGTGGGCTAAACATATTTTGCTCAATTATCTGACAAACACAATCTAAATTCTTCTGTAAAACAGTCGTTTGCTCAAAAGGAACACTACACATGAAAATAATCAAAAATCTAAATATAGAAGATAAAAACTCTCTAAACTAAAAATAGAGATGGTTATTATTAACTTTTAAATACAAATAATTCTTTAATGTTGTTTGACAAATAACAAAATAAAATGACACAAAATTATCAATAGATATTTCAAGGTGTTTGTATTTGTCTATGTTACTGTTATTCTGACTTGAATCCGACTATTCTCCTCTCTATTATGTATTTGTTTTAAATAGTTATTATTATACGTGTTATATAAACATTGCAGTTTAAATATGAATATTTATGTTTTTTAAAGCTAAGAAAGTGGCCTGTGGATCTGGTTGGGGTCGGTTTATGGGAAGTTGTTATAACTTTCAATTGAATTCAAAAAAGACATGGAATGAAGCAAAAGTAAGTTTAAATGAAATAAAATATCAAATGATTTTTTGTTGTTATTAAAATGTTATGTGTCAGTTTATTTAAACACTGCCCTTACGTATGAACTACATTTGAAAACTTAATCCGCCTAATTATTCTATATTCATGCCAGACGCTTTAAGTTACATCTTTATGTAATTGAGTACCAAGAATATAAAAGAATTTATTATTTATTTAACTAGTTCGCGTAAAATAATGCTGGTACATTCTTCCATCCATCTACCCCTATCTGTCTGTCAATCTATCCATTTATCAAAATATCTATTTCATTTGCAGTGCATGCTTCAGTTAAAAAAAGATAAAAAAACAATAGGAGCAATCATAGAATAACTCCAGAGGTATTGTGAAATTACCTACTCTATGGACAGTGTGAATCAAATAGGGATACTAAACAAATCCAAAGATTTTTTGAAATACATACAATTTAAGTCTCCCTCACCTGATAAACAAGGACGGTCAACTTAGATACTTATTTCTTGTTTCAGGGATGGATAAGTTATACTTCTCTGATTCAAAAACAAAATTCTATAAACAATGGCGACAGTAGTTAACCGATTTTCATTTTGTCGTTAATCGAACAAGGTAACAAAGTCTAAGGCAATCACAAAAACTCAAAAATAGACCAGGCAGGGTGCCTGGATAGTGTAAACGTCTTCTGATCTGCATTCATCTTCCGCCATGCTAATCCGCATTCAGTTAAAATGTCACAAACGAGAATATGACACAACTGTTTTGTAAAGATCTGACACCGAGAAATGATATCGATATTGAGACAAAGACACATCGTATCGACCAACCCAATCTTGATGGTGACCGTAAAACCTACTCAGAGTCGATAACAGCCGTTCTATCTCATAATTTTGTTTCAGTTTTTTGTGTTAGGAACACGCCCCTGTAAATAATTGAGATATGTTAACACCATATGATGGAGCAGAAGTTATGCTACCACTGAGAAATGGGAAGTGGACAATTGCAAAGCTGAAATCATTAAGTTTGCAATAAATTATAGTTTGGTGTCGTCAACCGGTGTCGAGGAAAACATCCTATGACGAAGACATTCTACTTTCGGTAGTATCCTTAATCTCAAGCACACTGGAATATAAGAGATTAAAACCGACATTATTGAGATGCCTGGTAATTTATTGACAATTTAGGAGGACGTTTTTTCAACAATCGATTGGTATTAATATTAGAACCAACTGTGCGCCTCTTTTTGCCGACTCGTTCCTTTGTGCAAGTGAGGTGTACTTCATACAGTAGATTATCAGGAAAAATGAATAAAAAGCTAGCATTATCTTTAACTTCAAGTTCTGCTATCAAGGTCATTTCCTCTCATTTCATAATTCAAACTTTGGTGACTGCTTTGAACGCATCTATCCCATAAGATATGAAATAAAGGATCCGACAGAGGCAGTTAAGTCTATTTCATATATCTTGTCTAACATCTATAAATGAGAGACACAACTTTACGACAAACGAGATGATTTCAGCATCCCAATTGTGAACTTTCTATTTCTACGTTGCACAAATCCATCAGTTCCTGCATAGGGGATATACATTAATCTGTAAATGCGATATTCGAGAGCTTGCGCTTACAAGGAAACAATTAAACAAAGGGTTTCAAGTTGTCCAGATGAATTCAACCCTTCGTAAGTTTCACAGACACCGTCATTAATTGGTTGATCTTTATATAATATATGTGTCACAGATGACCACGGATATGATCAATTTGTCGTTATCACAAATCCATCCTCTTTCTCCGAATGTGACTTCACTGAATTAGACTAATTACTGAATATGTTCTTACATGAGCAACACGACAGGTATAATGTGATGCAGGATATGCTTAGCCTTCCGCAGCATTTGAGATCAACCCCGATTTTTGATGGGTTGATATTGGTCAGTCTTTGGTGTTTCTATGTAGTGTTTTGCAGACTGGTCTGTTTGTCTTTTCACCGTTTTCGATTTTTGGCAAATTGCCAGATTCACTTCAATTTTTGAGTTGGAAAGTGTGTTTTGTTTTAGGCACAGATTTTTGTAAAGAAAAAAGTGTTTGTTTAAATTGGAATAATCAAACACTATCTTTAATTAAAGATTCAGCTACCATCAATGTAATAAAAGTTACACCGGGTTATGCTAGAGTTTCCAAGACAACTTCAATCCAGCCCAACCCAATGAAAAATATAGGTGTTAGATTATCCAAAGCATTACCTCAACAAACTTACTTATTGGAACCAATTCAAACTTCCAAAAACAATTTTCTAACGGCTAAATGTTTGATTAAAAACAAAAACAACAAAGCCTCTATACAAATTATAAATCCCACAAACGAAATAATAAAACTGTGCCCTGGTTTGATTATAGCTACTATTAATGAGGTAGATACTACAAGTATATTGTCTTTAGATGATAATCAATCGGAAAATAAATCAAAAACTTCATCTTTAAATTCAGTGCAGCAAACATCTTCCACTCAGTCTGATCTTCACTTTGATTTTTCAAAAAGTGATTTAACTGATCAACAAAAACAAAAATTAACTAAATTTTTAAATAAAAATAGAGATGTTTTTGCAACTAGCCTAAAAGAACTAGGTAAAACAAGTGTTTATCATCATAAAATTGATACAGGAAATTCTAAGCCAATTAAATCTCGGCCTTATCGAACATCACCAGCAGCTAAACAAGAAATTCAAAGGCAAATAGATGAACTTTTAAAATATGACATTATTGAACCATCAACAAGTGAATATAGTTCACCAATTGTCCTAGTAAAGAAAAAAGATAATAGTTGGAGAATGTGTATTGATTTTAGAAAAGTTAACTCCCAAAGTGTAGTTCAGGAATATCCTCTTCCTCGTTTAGATGATGTTTTTGATGCTATAGGTCAATCAAATGCTACAATTTACTCAAGACTTGATTTGACCATGGCCTATTATCAAATGCCTTTGGAAGAAAATTCAAAACACAAAACAGCCTTTATTACACATGATAATTTGTATCAATTTAAAAGAATGCCTTATGGTCTAAACAATGCCTGCCAAAGTTTTCAATCTTTAATGACTCAAGTTTTAAGAGGTCTTACATGGAAACATTGTTTAGTCTATGTTGACGATGTCATTATTTGGTCTAAAGATTTCGATTCTCATTTACATCATTTAGAATTAATCTTCAATAGGTTAAAAACAGCAAACCTTAAATTAAGACCAAATAAATGTGAATTTGCTAAACCAGAAATCTTATATTTAGGACACATTATCTCTAAAGAAGGTATTCAGGTTGACACATCTAAAACCAAAGCTGTTGAAACTTTTCCTATTCCGAACAATCAACATGATGTTCGAAGTTTTTTGGGTTTGTGCAACTACTACAGAAAATTTGTTAAAGGCTATGCAAAAATTGCGTCTCCTTTAAATAGGTTACTTACAAAGGATTCTCCTTTCAAATGGACTTCAGATTGCCAAAAAACTTTTGAAACTTTAAAAACTGCTTTGACATCAACTCCTGTTCTAAAGTTTCCAAATTTTAACAAGCCATTCATTATATCATGTGATGCTTCAGGTTCCGCTATAGGTTACATTTTATCACAATTTGGAGAAGACAAAAAAGAACATGTTATTGGTTATGGAGGTAGAGCATTATCTCCAGCAGAAAAAAATTATACGGTTACAGAACAAGAAATGTTAGCACTAGTGTCATCCGTTGCATATTTTCATGTTTATCTTATAAGTAACAAATTTACGGTGTATACAGATCACAAAGCACTATCTTGGTTACAAACTATTAAACATACAAATTCAAGATTAATTAGGTGGGCTTTAAAACTCCAGGAATACAATTTTGAGGTAATTCATAGACCAGGTTCACGTAATCAACATTGTGATAGTTTATCCAGGCGTGATTATAATAATATAGATCACAATTCTGACTCAATGACTGAAATAACATTTGTTTTCCCCGAAGAAACTTTGGAACAAATTACAAATAATTCTGAAAATATTTCAGTTTATTTTTTAGATGAAATATCAACTTTGCAAAAAGCATGCCCATATTTTGGACCAATTATTGATTTCTTAGAAAAAGGAGTGTTACCCAATGACAAAAAAAGAGCTCATGCAATACCGTATGAAACTAGTCAATATGAAATTTTGAATGGTACATTGTATCATTTTTTCCAACCAAGAACTAAAATTAAAATTTCAAAGAATCAATTAATAAAACAGGTAGCTATTCCTGAACCTTTGCGAAATGATATTTTATTGTCATGTCATGATCAAAAAGCCGGAGGTTCGCATTTAGGAGTTCAAAGAACTTATGAAGCTATAAAAAAAAGATACTTTTGGCCAAAAATGTATCAAAATGTCTATGATTATGTAACCAGCTGTCAAATTTGTCAAACAGTTAAAAAAGATAGTACTGCTAAAAAAGCACCTTTAAAACCTTTACCAATTAACGGTCCTTTTGCTCGACTGCACATGGATGTTTTAAGTGGATTGCCAACTTCAAATGAAAAATATAAATATATTTTATTAATAACAGATTCTTTCTCGCACTGGTGCGAATGTTTCCCAATGAGAACGCAAGAAGCAGAAGAAATTGCAAATATCTTATATTCTCAAATTTTTACTAGATATGGAGCTTGTCGTTATTTGGTGTCTGATAGACATGCAAGTAATATGAGTAAACTAGTTAACATCTTATGTAAAATGTTCAATGTTACACAACACTTTACTAGTTCGTATCATCCACAAAGTAATGTTGCCTGTGAAAGAACAAATGCTACTTTGGCACAATCATTAAGAGCTTACTGTTCTAAAGAACAAACAAATTGGCCAGATATTTTACCCAGTATCATGATGGCGTTCAGAATGAGTCCTTGTACACAATCAACGGGGTTTTCTCCGTATTACATGATTTTTGGAAGAGAAATGCCTCTACCTATCGATACAGCGTTAATTCCAGAGGAATTAATAACCCAATCACCGGAAAAATATATGGATCAATTGATAAATAGAATAAAAATTATTCAAGATATTGCAAAATCAAATTTAGAAGAAGCTCAACAGAAAAGTAAAATTTATTATGACAAATCTACTAAACAACCAAAATTTAAAGTTGGAGATCATGTTTTACTCAAGGTTGAAAAAGTTCAAGTAGGAAAGAAAAAGAAGTTAGAACCTAAATGGACGGGTCC